TAGATTGCACAAACCCGGCATGAACCTAACGGGGATTGATAAGCACGAGATTAAGTGAGATATAAGGCTGAATATGGCAGTACTTCCTCATACAGCAGACAAGCAAGCCTACGCTGTATCTGATTATTATGAGGACACAGGAGAACAAAAAAAGAGATAGATTACCTCCCTACCACGTACACCATAGGGCAGATCGTGAATCACGGACATTGCATCGCAGTATGCTCAGAAATACACACCGTTCACCCTCTAGCCATAAGATAGACGAGCTGACAAAGCTCGTGCTAATCAGGATAGAATTCCTAAGCATGCGCCATCTCATACTGCCACACAGTCCAGTTACACGGGCGGAGAAGCGAGGGAGATGTTACGTCACTATCACACAGTTATAGAACACGTGATTCCCGCACGGCCAGTCGTAGATCAGACGACCGGGATTACGCTACCCTCAGCCATATGACCTAGTCTCAGCACAGCCCGAGTAGGGGGTGCGGATCTATTGCTAATACTGTTTTTTATACAGTAGGGATTCTACTACGGAGGTTAATTATAGACCAAATAATATGCCATTAACATATCATTGCAGAACTCTATAAATCTAATCCCCGCCCTTTAAAACAGATACAAGGACAAATACCAAGATGACCTTGTTAGAGCGTGACGGGTAGGAGGTACCGGTCAGTTGATTCTAGAATTCCTTACCCTTCCCTGTTCGTCATATATTGATGACGTCATCAAGAATCGAATATTCATTAAATGCTACTTTCGGCACTTAATGTTAGACTGGGTATGCCTGCCATTAATAAGAGTGATTACACAAGTTGCCCCTGCGCACAACAGCCGAGCATCGTTGAACTTTTCTACTAACGTCATACCCCGAACAATCAGAACGTAGGCCTACACTTAGACACCCCACGGAGATGACACTACAGCAGACCGGATTCATCAACAGCTCACTGGAACACATTCTGAAGATGCAGGAAGATCTTCAATCAGCAACCGGACTAACGTCAAGAAGCACAGTTCCTGCTAAAGATGATCATCCCACTTCGCAGAGGAGGAAGCAGAAGCAGTCCCCGAAGGGGATACCACCGGAAATGCCTTCAGACCCTACCGACATCGCTTGCCAAATGGACAACGATTTAGAAGTACAGAAGATCAAAGATACGACCACATCGAATCCAGTCGAACTAGCCGGTCTCACAGACATCGACCCAAGATTACACAAGTTCAGCAAGGGGCTATCAGCACCTTAAAAGAGTCAAGAGACCACTCACGGGTTCTACTCCCCAGTACTCCAGGTACCTACGCTTTGCAGTCAACGGTCAGAGATACCAGTTCAGGGTACTACCATTCGGCATATCCTTAGCCCCATGGTTATTCACCAGGATCACCAATCCCATCATCGGTTTGCGCCCATATAAGCTCATAAGGCTTCTCGTATATAGACGATTTCCTATTGGCCGATCAGGACAAGCGCAATTAGTTTAAACACAGTGTGCCTCACTACTAACATTCTTATGTTTCCTGGTTCACCCTCTAAAACAGAGCTAGTACCCACACAGGCATCACCTACATAGACGCAAGATTCTACTCAACAAGGGGCATAGCAGCACCCACAGAGGACAGATATGCAAGAGTAGAGCACATGATAACAAGCCCACTCGATCAGGCCGTCAAGTCGAGACGCTGGTGGATGTCTCGCCTATGCCCGCTCACATCTATCCAAGATTTAACCTACAGAGGCACAAGGTCTCAGCCTTTACTGAAGGAGGTTACATGTTTATATGCCTTGGTGGACTCAGTGAGTTGCAAGATCGAAGTAAGACACATTCCGGGGAAGCTAAATATACTAGCAGATTACCTATCCCGGAAAAACAAGATAGTACCCACAGAATGGTCACTACATCCCGAGGTGTTCAAGTGGATAACCCAGATATGGGACACTCCAAACATAGATCTATTCACTACATGTCTCAACAACAAACTACCAGTCTACGTCAGCCCAGTACCAGACCCACTAGCACTCCAAGTCGATGCGCTCTCCATGGAATGGAAGGGAATGTTTGCTTATGCATTCCCCCATGGGCTCTCCTAGACAGAGTACTGAAGAAAATAGAGGAAACGGATTGTGTCATAATTCTCATAGCCCCGGCTTGGCCCAAAAGGGCTTGGTTTCCGAGACGTCTACAACTCCTGCTGGAAGTACCGCTGAAACTCCCAGTACGTCACGACCTATTGAGACAACCAAAGACGGACATATTTTACGGCCGCCTCGATAACCTCCATCTGCACGCTTGGAAATTATCTCGCATAAGATGCAAGCCGCCGGTTACTCTAAATCAGCTGCACGAAGAGTGGCTAGCTCATGGAGACCAGCCTCATCTGCCTTATATAATAACAGATGGGACAAGTTCGTCGAATGGAGAAGAGGGAAACAGTTACATGGAGATATAACGATACCTATAGTAGCCGATTTCTTGCTCCATCTCAGAAATGATAAGAAATTACGACACGGCACTATCGAAGGATATAGATCAGCCCTGTCATCAGTATTACAACACGATGACCTATCTATAGGTACCCATCCAGTACTAAATCGACTTATGAAGTCTTTTGCCCTGGAAGATATAAAAGTACCACGTACTTTTCCTAAATGGGATCTATCTATAGTATTGTCGGCATTGATGAAAGCACCGTATGAACCCATGAGTAGTGCGACATTACTATCAGTCTCCAAGAAAACTGCTTTTCTCTTAGCCATGGCTACGGCGACTCGCGTGTCAGAACTACACGCTATTGACATCTCCACTGTAACCCATACCAAAGAATGGAAATCAGTGTCGTTCAGATCGCTCCCTGAATTTATTGCCAAAAACCAGTCGTCAACCTTCGGCCCACTCGGACATCGGCAATACACAATTCCAGCCTTAAGTAAAAGTGTGGACTTCCCGGATAGATTGCTTTGCCCCATAAGAGCCTTGAGATATTTTATCACAGCGACTCAACCCCACAGAAAGCAGAGAAAACGCCTATTTATCTCTTGCAAGCCCTCGTCAGAAAAGGACATCGCAAAGGGCACTGTAGCGGGATGGCTAAAAACAGCTATCACAGATAGCTATAAAACGGCACAAATCTCCACTCCGATTTGGGGTAGCTGCAGACCCCACGAAATCAGAGCACTGGCAACAAGCCTAGCCACATGGAATACTGCATCCATCGAACAAATCGTGGCCAGCTGCCAGTGGAAGTCCCACAACACTTTTTCAAACTTTTACTTACGAGACATACAGACCGATCTAAATGGACTATACACTCTGGGACCTTTGGTGGCCGCCCAGGTGATAGTTACCAAATAAAGTAACCTGTTCCCTCCCTCGTCCAGGAAAGGGAAAAAAGAGGGGGGGGGGGTGAAGATTTCAGAAGTACCTCAGGAACTCAGGGTAAGTTGTACTTTGTTACTGGACTGCGCTATTGAGTTAGTAAAACAGGGCAAATGTCAACACTGAAATCAGAGATCGAAGGATTAAGTGATATACGGTAATCTACATGATAGGAAGGTTAATGTATTACCACCGGAAGTGACGTCATAGGAGTCATCACACCGGAGAAACGTTAAGATACGTTAAATATCACTATCCAAAAGGGCATAACGGTAAACCACGTCATAAGTGATACGGGAGAATAGTGACACCGGAAGTGACGTCACATATGACGTCATCACCGGAAGTGACGTCACAGATGACGTCATCACAGGAAGCGACGTCACAAAAAGTCTAAGTATCACAAGGGAATATACATATACCCTTCACATGACGCCTTGAAAATTATATACGTCTAAGTCTTGTAAGTAGACTATTAGACACATCCGTTTAAGACCCCTTTTGGCATATAATCCTTGGTTTTACCACTCCACTAGCCAAATATCTATGGGATGCTAGATACCAGAACCCGCCGGTCCCTCTGGTGTATACTGGCACTGATGTGATAGAGGTGAGGTATTCACAAGAATTATCAAACAATAGTTATCATTGTGAATAATTCTAAGAATACCACCTCTATCACATCAGGAATTAATCCCTCCCACCTCCCCAAATATCTGCATCTAGTTGATGAGAGTATGGGTTGAAAGAAGTGACTAGATTCCCGCCTTGCGCATGCGCAGTGGCGCCTCTGGCAAGGGATAGGGTTTCCCTCACAACTATGGATATGTTGGCAGTGTAGTGGACGTCTGTTGAAAATTTATAAAAATTTATAGTGTGGTTCTCAGCATAAACAGGAATTTATGGCACTGATGTGATAGAGGTGGTATTCTTAGAATTATTCACAATGATAACTATTGTTTGATGATGCTGATCCTAACACATTTTGGGACAATGGGATCAGTGATTAAAAGCCTTTGCTCGTCCCACAGAAAGTCTGGGTTCGTGTTTACACATGGGTAGAGTGTGTGAAGATCAGTTCTTGTGTCCTCTGTCAATATATTGCTGGAATATTACTTAAAGTAGTGTAAATCTATACTTATAACATTTGGGAGAGATCATATGACACCAGCAGCTCCATGCACATATTTGTTGCCTTATTTCATTTTTCGAGGGGCGGTCCGGTAGCCTAGTGGTTAAAGCCTTCGCTCGTCACGCCCAAGACCCAGGTTCGAATCCCGACATGGGTACAATGTGTGAAGCCCATTTCTGGTGTCCCCTGCCGTGATATTGCTGGAATATTGCTAAAAGCGGCGTAAAACCAAACTCACTCACTCACTCACTCACTCATTGTCCGAGGTTGTACTTAGAACACATGTTAAATGAGTTGATATCAGTTTGTAATAACTCCTGCGAATATCCTGCCTCTATTACATCAATGCCATAAATCCTGTATTTTGGCTGTCATCACATTATAAAATAGTCAGGTTTTCAGCATAAGTCCTCTTCAGTGTCAACTATCCATAAGCAGTTGTACAGGCAATAGTATTCTCCGCTAATCAATGCCATTGGTTGCAGGTTTCATCGCTGCTGACATCAAGGGGACAGGGTCTTGGACTCAGTTGTTTCTGATCACGGACTACCATGAGAATGGATCCCTATATGATTACCTCAAGCTTCATACACTGGACACCCATGAGATGCTGCTTCTATGTCACAGTGCTTCCTGTGGCATCTCTCATCTCCATACAGAGATATTTGGCACCAGAGGTCAGTAGAGGGAATAACTCTCATTTCTACCTTTCTAAGGGGAGATAACTAATGACCTTTTATTGAATGTTTTATGTTTGTTGTTTTGAACTTTGTTGATGGATGTAACGTTGCAAAGAATATTTTCAGTATGTGGTTTGATTCACATGTTGGTAGCGATTTTGAAACAAATTATTCTATATTTTTCTAGTTTCATAAGGGTTTGGTAATGTATTAATATGGGGCGCTGGGTCAGAGGCAATCAGGGGTGGGTCACAAAAAATAATACATATTTGATTAGGGTCATGGAAAAATGGACACTTTATAGTAAAATATAATGTTCTTTTGCATTTTGGGGGGGGGTTCAGGGAGGGTCTTGAACAAAAATTATGAGGACATGGGAGGGTCATCCAAAAATATGACAATTTGGTAATTGTTTTCTGTACATTTGGGCATCAAAAACCTCTGATCCATCCCACAGTGTAATAATTGACTGGTCCCGGTTAATTTGAAAGTTAGCATTTTGAATATTACCGTAATTTTATGATGAATTAATTAAAGTTTGTCACAGTCATAATCACTGAAGATACACCTCTGACTTTCAGGAAAGCCAGCAATTGCCCACCGAGACATCAAGACAAAGAACATCCTGGTAAAGAAGAATGGTACATGCTGTATCGCCGATCTGGGCTTGGCTGTCAGATACATCAGGTACTTGTTGATGGAGTGGCTGGAAGAAAATGCTGTTGGGGGGTATAGCTGGAATTGTCAGCATTATCAGGGCTTGGAGAAAGTCACTTGTATAAACATGCATTGTTTCTGAGAGAACAACTGTTTTTATTGTCTTGAATGACACGAGGAAACCTGTTGTATCACCGCAGAAAAGTTACACTCTAGATAAAGTGGAACCAGATTTCTGATATTTAGGCGAGCATCTTACAGCCTGACATGAGATATCACTCTTCCAGAAACTAGAGGTTCAGAGATAGGAGTTTTTGCTTGTATTTGAATTCATGTGTGGCCAAGGAAGAAATAAATTGTTCTCTGTTTTGGACGGTACCTAGATGAATGTAACATACATTTAAGCCAAAGACCAACTTAACCTGTTCATGCAACAAAACAGTTTCTTGTGTAATCTTGCTTGTAGATAATGGTAGTTTCTTTCCTGAATTAATGCCAGTGATTGACACCAGCTGTGCAGCCCTTGTTCCCGTTAGAGTGGGATGTGTTATAAGTCTCAAATGTATCATCAGAGTGATATAATGCATGCTGTTTTGTGATGTATTTGCAGTGAAAGCAGTGAGGTAGATATTGCTCCCAACACTCGATCTGGTACAAAACGGTACATGGCGCCAGAGGTGCTGGAGGACAGAGTCAACAAGAACCACTTCGATGCCTACAAACAGGCTGACATGTACGCCTTCGGGCTGGTGGTGTGGGAGGTGGCAAGAAGGTGTATAATTGGAGGTAGGTGGATGGCCATGATGGCATGATATGCGTGTGGAAGTTTGACCTCACCGGACTGAAAGTCAAATGACCTTGTGTCATGGACCGCCTCCGTGGTCTAGTGGTAGAGTGTCCGCCCGGAGAGCGGAAGGTCCGGGTTCGATCCCCGGCCCCGTCATACCAAAAGACGTTAAAAGATGGTACTTGTTGTTACCCTGTCTGGCGCTCAGCATTTAGGGGCTTAAACAAGGACTGGTTGGCTCGGAGTCAGTATACTGTGTCTGAGTGGGGTATTCATGTTAAACTGCGGCATGGTATCTCAGTGAGCTAGCACTATAAATCGACATCAGTTCGGACTAGTACAAGCAGCCACACAAACACACACACATACATGCACGTCGCTATATAAGTGCAATAATCTTGGACACGATGTTAAACCCCATTTCACCTCACCTCACCACCTTGTGTCATGGTGCGTTCTCCATCATTTGTCTACTCAATTGTCAGGATGTCCATCCATTAACTTTTGCATTTTGGAATCTTCTCTGATACCACAAGGCCAATATGAAGCCGAAACTTTTTATGGACAATCCCATCTCTCAAAAAAGTGCTCATAGAATTCTGTTTAAATTTTAAACATGGCCTCCATCATGCAGATCAGCTTCAGAGCCTTGCTGCTGTATATTTTTCATGTTTTCATTGATTGCTGTACATCTGGAAAGATTTGGGAGTGGGAAAGTCTTGTGAAAACTACAAGTGACACACACTCACAATCGTTTAATGACACAATTACTTTTGCAGACCAAAAAGAACAAAATCTAACAGGACATGTTCATTTTCACTTCCACACATTGTCAAACCAGCCAGTATATGATTAAATATATTTAGATCCCTCACGTCATGTTTCCTTAATTACACATGGTGACTTTGTGTCACTAAGTAGTCCAGACATACCCCAGCCATGTGAATTGTTGTATAAACTCCAACTTTCCTTGTCAACTACAACACTTGCATCTGTAGTTGAAAAAAGACACCGAGTTACCTTTTCATCATGCCGCTTCCTTCTCCTTTAGAAAATGGTCAAATGTAAGAATTATTATATATGGGATAACATTTTCTTAGTAAAGTACAGATTCTAGTACTTTTGGGGGGTTGAGTCCCTTCTGGGATTCGAACCCACACTGCCAGAGCAATAGTTTGGGAATTGTTCTCTGTAGATAGTTGCAGAATAGGTCCAAAGTACACTTGATCATTATGAGAGCTAAGTGAAGTGGTGGTTAGGTGTCTATAGTATGTGATCAGGGAGAGATTAGCCAGTGTTTCGTCCGAGTGTGATTAGTTAGTGCTATTTGTTGTGTTGATGCAGGGATAGCCGAGGACCATGCGCTGCCCTACTTCGACTGTCTTCACAGCGATCCCAGCTTTGAGGATGTCCGGAAGATAGTTTGTGTTGAACAGATCCGACCAGCCATACCCAATCGATGGATCTCGGATCCCGTAAGTAGTCAGCAGCACTTAGTACTTATAAAATGTCAATCTGGCAGTCTCAGTGTTCATGGTACAGCTGATTCATGCCAACAGTTAGACATGTGTTAATTCAGTTGCGATGAAAGTTGCAGCCTATTTGTTGTAAGACAGTGCTATATTTTGTGACCTTTCAAAGTCAGCATAACACAAAGTCTGTTTCGTTATTTCTTGTTCTTACTTGGTTCAGATATCAGATAGCCTTTTTCTAAGTAAGAATTTTGAAAATTGTATTTATTTCCGGATTTCATGACGAACAAACTCCAATCAATCGACCTTTGATGAACAGTTTGTATTTTCTTACCAATCAAGTTGAAAACTGTTTACTTTTATGTTTTGAAATTTTCTCGTCGTCTGTGTTATTTTTCGAAATTCAATCGAAACATGAAGAGCCCTGTGCATTCCAATGATAACCATTGCTCCCAGTGATCTTCTCATAGTAACACCTTCCTACTGAGAAGAAGTGGAATGGGGATATAGGAATGGGTGCTGTCCGTCCATCCTTCCGTCCGTCACATTTTGTTGCAGAACAGAACTCATAAACCATGCGAGATATTTTAATCAAACTTGGCGCATAGATAGGTCTAGTAGTGAACTGGTGTTTTTTGATAGTTTGGGATTTTTTAAACATTCATTTTTCAAGTTTCCATGGCAGCAACTTTGACTTGAAAATGGTGGTATTCGTGGGGGATATGATTTTTTCATTCTTGTTTGAAGCAGAATGTTTTTGCAATTTCTTGTCTCTTAAGTAACTACTTTGTTTCCTGTGTGTCTGACCTTGCCTCTGCCTTGCCTCCACAGTACATGAAGATCCTGACAAAGGTGATGATCGAGTGCTGGAGCCCTAACCCAGCAGCCAGACTCACATCATTGCGTGTTAAAAAGACACTGGGAAAGATGCTGGAGAGCATTGAACTCCACACAAAGCTGTCGTCTCAGTCATGATGACATCGGGCAGACAGGAGCTAAACTTAATCAGGGAATGCTGAATATATAGTGCTGTGTACAGATGCTTGTTCTCACGGAAGAGGAGACCACTTGTCCCACCGACCCAGCGTGCAACTGAACGCGGAGTGCGGAGTCAGCCACGTCCATGCCTCTTGTCCCCGACGAATGTGGCAGCACGTGTAGCGTGGAGTGCACCCTGCTTTGTGCAGGCTGCACAGTCATGCATGTCTGGTTTCATGCATTTTGTAAACTGATTGCTCAACCACAGGAATATATGAAGTCAGGATATGGTGTATTCAGATAAGGGTAGATCAGGCAGACTTCAGTGAAGGAATCATTAGATCTACACCAAAGTTAATCATTGATTCAATTGTTTTCATGGAATGTTTGGTTTAATTTGCTGATATCATAGGTCCATTCATCGCATATTGTGTGAAATACACTTGAAACTGTTTTGTTTTTATCTAAACTGATTTGATACCTTCGTGGATGGACCCAGGCTTTGTTGGTCTAAGGGAGATAACTCTATTTGCTACAAATGAATAACTTCTATTTAACATACATGCCGATCAGTACTGAGAAAATTATTCTTTCATCCTATCCATTGCTCCCTTCCTTTTTACATCTCTGGAATTATTCTCATTTTTTTCTTATGCTATTTTTAAAGCATAAATCCTTTCACTCTTGTGATTACAAACTTGGATGTGTTTAACCATCTTTGGGAAATTGAGTTTATGGGTGCACTGCCAAATGTTTATCACAAGTTCGAAAGAGATTGAGAATGATGAAATTGGTACAGGTACAAGTCAAAAACATTTCCATACTTGCCGTTAAAGGCGACTTTGCTTGTCGTAAAAGGCGACTATGAGATCGGGTGGTCAGGCTCGCTGACATGTCAGCGATCCCAATTGCGTGGATCGATGCTCATGATGTCAATCACTGGTTTGTCTGGTCCAGACTCGATTATTTACAGACCGCCATCATATAGCTGGAATATTGCTGAATACGGCGTAAAACAACAAACCAACCAACCAACAACAAAAAGATTTACTGAAGTCTTCGTCTTACTGGATTATCTCCCTTTGACCACAGTCTGCCATTGAATGAGCTTGATCAAACTTATAGGATAGACTTGCTCTAGCGAACTAGTGACCTTATCTCCCACCAAGGACAGTCTTTAAATGGCATTTTATAATTTATTTACAAAATTGTTTCATTGAACCATATATGAATCAGCTTTACTCTATTCATCAGCAAGAACAAACCTACCACATCCCTCTTTTTATACCCAATCACATAATGGCAATATGTTGTTTTAATTCTAAGCATTATTTGAATGACTGCAAATATCATTTGAATTGTTTTATTTCCATGCTCAATAATTGTTTGTGATAAATTATAATTTATGTGCAGACCTGTTTGAAAAGAAAATGGCATGGATGCCATTTCCGGTACATATGATATGTATGAGTCTTGTTAAATGATACGAAATAGTGGATATTGAATCTATCTTAAATATAAGGCAGAAATTGTCAGTTCAGTGTTGAAAATCTTCAATTTGTATTTATGAGAAATGTTTTTCGTTGGCACCAATGTTTCAATGCTTATCACATATAGGTCAGTTAGACGTCATCTTTGTACATAGGAACCTAGAACATTATTCAAAGTGTACAGTTTTCATAGCATAAAGCATCACGAAGTCCATTTCCATGGTAACATACAACTCTTGTACATAGGTCATTCTGACGTCATAGATAACCCAAATTGTATTTATTTTTATGTAGTTTACTGTACCATATCAAGTCACAATAGCGGTTCTTTTATGAAGAAACCTCTGTTTGTATATATGTACATATATATATGTGTTTTTCCCCCCGACAGCCCAACTGTGAAATAACATGCCAAACATTGCTGTACTTGAAGTCTGTTGTCCCAGTTTTACATAGTTTTAGCATACTCATTTTAATCAAACATTGATTGTGCAAATATGAATGAAATCAAACTGTTTTAAGTGTTACTGAGAAGTGATTATGGCTGTAGCAATATTTGTACTTAACCAGACGATGCCAATTTTGTGAGTTAGTTAGTAATATGTTTCTTAAACATGCCTCATCTTGTTGAGTTTTAGATATCTGATAGTTATGTCTCATGCAGTAAATGAATGTACAAGTTTGAAAAACGTTCCAGAAAATGTTATGTCTGTTGTACTTAGAGCTGCTGGGTAATCAAGTGATACTGCAATCTTTGCATTTATTTACAATGGCGCAGGAATATCTTGCCCCGCAGAACCATGTAGCAACCATAGTGGTTGTTTCAACTTACGTATGACACTGACACGTCACCCATGTCACTCAGATTACTCTGTGAGGAACATGTGCACATTAAGCTTCCAGATAAAATTAGCTTGGAATTTTGATCAATTTGCACACTTTGTGCAGAAACAGTTTGAGTCTGCTTGTGTAATCTTGTTTTGGGCATCTTTTTGGGTAAATTTCTCATCCTATTGGCATTTCACTGACATTACGTGATGGAAAGAAATTAAGCTTGGGATTCAGAATAGAAGCTGAAATTAAACATTACTGAAACAGAGCTTCTACAAAACCTGATATTTGGACAGGCATCAAGTTTGCCTTGATCTTGAATTCACATTTCACCAAATCTCAAAGATAAACATACGGTAACTACAATTTGGGGATAGAGTTCTGATGACTAAAATTCATTTGAAAGACAAGTCGTAGCCTTGAAATATGCCTTGTCCCCATGTGAAGTGGGTGGCCTGTCAGTGTCAAGTACTCTTACCTCAGTCAGGTAGATTGTAAGCAATCTCGTAGAGGCTTCCATTTCTGTTGTCAGTGGCTGTCGTCCGTCGCTGTCGTCCAGCTTCTTCATGTTATTCTCCTAGTCTTCCAGTCTTATAGATGCAACTGTTTATGTCAATTTCTGTCAATCAGGCCAGTTGGAATGTCAGTTTCCTTGTATAATTTGCCAGGTCGGAGGAAGATTACAGGTGATGTCGTGTTCATTAACTTGAGTGTTAAAGTCAATAGCTTAATGAGTTAATAAACAAAATACATTTTGTACCTCATCTGATCTTTTCAACATATTTAACAGTTTTTCCAACTTAATTCAGTGATAATGTAACTATGAATTGTTTAATGAAGTTATACAACACTTATGTGTTATTCATGATGTTTCTATCATAGCTTGTAAATGGCTCTTTAAGACATTTTGTAAAGTCTTTTCAATGGATAAATTAATTTTGAAAAGTTATCTAACATTTTACATGTTAGGCAGGAATTCCTCCAGTGTTTTTTTTAAACTGAATGTTGTCAATTGTTTCCTGCTTATTGTATGAAAGTTATTCCTTCAATGAAATATATATATACATATATATTTGATAACAATCAGAACCCATACAGCAATACAATAGATAGATTTTGATTTGGCATTACCGTTAAATTATTTCATTTGACCCTTTTCTGTTATTGAGGATAACAGGTGTCATGTATTGACGTAAACAAGACCTACTTCCGTGAAACTATGTTTAACCATCAGATTCGATTCTACTTCTTTAAAAAATGTCAATGGTGTGATACCGTGAAGGGTACGTTTTATGTAGCAATGGAGTTTGTTTCTCTGTTTAAAGGTTCATGACTTTCACAAATCTCTTTCAATGCTTTGCTGTGTAAGCCTTGCAATAATTCTAGCATTTGTTGGCTATATTTGTAATATAATTGTGCTTTGACAAAAACATACTCCATGACTTTGTGTAGACCATGAGACAGTGAAAATTCTGACCATTAAATTGTTTCACAATAGAAAAAACAACATTTTTCAGATTGGGAAATGTCTTCTGTTTAAAATAAATCCTGTAGGTTTCAGAAGGTTAAATAGTTTCATGGAAGGAAAAATACTTGTTCTATATACATATAGCTCCAAATGTAATAATCATTAGTGATCTCAAGAAATGATTGACAGCTTTAGGAACTGCTGCGTTAGACTACATGTATTTTGAATGACTTACTCGTCAGGGAGAAAAGGTCTCCTACCCCCAACCCACCACCAGGTTTGCTACTTAATTATACAGTGTGTAATCATCTTGAGTAATACAGTAGATACTCATGTGATCATCTATGTAGCCTATTAATAATATTTTGTTGAGAAAAAATCAAAATGCTTACATTTTTATGGATAATTTACATGATTTGAATGTATGGATTTTTAACCAGTTGTACATTGTCTTTGGCTGTAATATGGCTCAAAGAGCTTTTGAATGTATATTTTGTAAATATTTCTATAACCACTGGGCGAACCTTGATTTCTGTTAGCTTATGAAGTGAGATCTTGTTGAAGCTAGAAACAGGTCTTGTATCATTAGGAGGAGAGGGGCATTTGTTTCAGTAATTAATGTGGGCATGAAACGGTGAGTGGACAGTTTCTTCAGTGAGTGAGTTTGGCTTAATGACGCTTTGAAAGGTTTCACAGTTGTGTCACGGTTTATCAGCTCGATGTGGGATGGAAGTGATGTAGGTCATTGACTTTCGCCACTTTACTTCAGGACAAACCTGGGATTTAGACCCACGATCATAGGTTTCTGGCAGGTCTAAGGGACGCAACTCTGCACTAAGAATTGTGGTATCTGAGACGTCTGGCCCATTCATACCCTCACCAATTTCTTCAGATAGGAAACGGTGACTGAACATTTACAGTCACAAGCCGATTTCTTTGTCCCACCTTTGAGCACTAACTTATAGAATAAATGAACAAGCCTGCAAGCTACCAGAAGCCCTCTCTGGCTTTGAGCTCTGTTACGCTCATGGGTAGAGAATACTGTGGGGGGGACAGAAACTACGTTGTGGTGGTGTCGATCATTATGTATCAATACTGTGGTGGTAGTATGATTTGTTTTTATTCCCTAAAATTAAGAGATCGTGTGTCATATATTCTGGTGTCAGATCAATCCTGTCCCGAATTGACAACATCCAGACCACAGGTGGCCTCATGGTCTAAGGTACCACACGTCGCTGTGAAGAGTTGCATACCTTTGCCATGCCAGGATCTGCTGATTACAGTCCAGCGTCTTACCTGTGTCTTTGGATTTCACCGGAGTGATCAGGTCTACAGCGTGCGTCATGTTGAGCTTTACTCTGACGTTAGGCTTTCTTGTTATAATGTAACTGAAAAACTGTGTAAAGCATCATGGAAACCACACCCTTACTGATTATTTCGCTGTATTGGATGTTGTAGCTCCAATAAGCGCCCCCCATAGCAACTTCTAAACCAATCTGTAAGTAATCTCTTTATGTGCCACATACTAAGCCCAAAAATGTACATGACAGTCCATAATTTTTTTGTATATTTCTGAGTTTTTACAGAAAACACAGCAGTGTAGAAAGGCTACATGATTGGCCAGTAACTACAGTGTATAATTGAAAATGTTTTAGTTTCATTGACTTTTGTTCTCTACCACTTGATCTAGGCCAATAAATTAAACTTGTGTGTGTTTTAATACGAGCCCCCGTTTCCATTTACTAAGCACTCAAGGTGCTTATTATGATGAATATGGTATTGATAATAAGTACTATGAATGGTATGAATTTATTCATTCTGTGTATATTTCATCTGTAAAGGAAGGATTAATGCTCCGTAAAAATGATCAGGTTTATGTTAAATATTCAAGAAAAGAAATCTGAAGTAGATGTATGCACATTTTTTACTGACAAGCGCTTCGCTTAGGATACCATTAATTAGCTTGTACTATATGGTACCTTAAGATAATACTGTCTCTATTAGAGAGATTACATATTGAATCTACTACCACCACAAACTCAATATTAAGTTATATGTAAATCTATGTTATCAAGTTCCGAGAAATCCATGTAACAGTGAATTGTCTTGATTCATTGTTGGATGAAAATGTTTCTTTGCTGCCTCCAAATTTCACAGATTACCTCCCTTGTGTCAAAGAATTTCTTATACCAAAAGTGTGACCTTTTGACTGTTGTTGATTCAGTCTGACATCACCTCAGCTGCCCAGGTCACAAGTCTACATGAAGCTTAGCCCAGAGGTATTAAAATGTGAAAATAAACTTACAATGTTGCATCAATACAAAATTGATCCAATTTCACTGCAGAATGGAAATTGAAGATCTGATTGCGATGTATGTGAAATTAATTGAAATTAACAACGATAATCCACACCAAAATTTTACTTAAGCCAAATATGGATTGGTAGTTGGGTATTATCTGCAAATGCATGTTGACATAGGCCAGAGTGTGCCACTCTTCTTCTGAAGCGGAATATGGAGCCAGGGGCTGTCTAAGACTCTTATTTTCATATACCTATGCAGCATTTTTATTGCATTAAATGGTATGTACTTTATTTTGTAGAAAATTATGCAATGAATTTCATTTTGCAATAAAATGTATTTACCAACTATGACTGTTTGTTTTGGGTGAACAACCTCAGAAATTTGTTTTTTTAAAGACTAGCCGAGAGGACGAGTGGTAACCTTATTTCACTGTTCCTGGGAGTTTGTATTTGGTCCAGCTTGAACAAGGTGAGGTGAAATGGGGTTTAATGTCGGGTCCAAGATTATTGCACTCATATAGCGACGTGTGTGTGTGTGTGTGTGTGCGTGCGTGCGTGCGTGCGTGTGGCCGATTTCTAGTGCACTGAGATACCATGCCGCAGTTTAACATCAATATACCCCACTCAGACACAGTATACTGACTCCAAGCCGACCAGTCCTTGTTTTAGCCCCTTAATGCCGAGCGCCAGACAGGGTAACAACAGATACCATCTTTTAACGTCTTTTGGTATGACGCGGTCACTAGTCCTCGGCACATTTTGTAGTCTCAGGCTAGCTGATTTGCATGAAGGCTGGTGTACATGTATGGAGGGGGCTTTTACATGATTGAATATGTCTTCAGCAACCCATGCTTGCCGTAAAAGACGACTATGCTTGTAAGAGGCCACAAATGGGATCGGGTGGTCAGACTCGCTGACTTGGTTCATGCGTGTCGTCGTAAACGAATTGCGTGGATTAATGCTCATGATGTCAATCAGTGGATTGTGTGGTCCAGACTCGATTAAGTCCAGACTGCGTTAATCAACAAACAATCAAACAAAACATGAATGAGTGGCCTGACAGACTAGTGGTTGTAGACATGTGACCCTAGCCATCAGAGCATCATGGCACGTGATCAGCTAACTCACACTCGGTACATAACCATCCGCCTCCGTGGTCTAGTGGTAGAGCGTCCGCCCGGAGAGCGGAAGGTCCGGGGTTCAATCCCCGGCCGCATCATACCAAAAGACGTTAAAAGATGGTACTTGTTGCTAAAACAAGGACTGGTCGGTTCGGAATCAGTATACTGTGTCTGAGTGGGGTATTCATGTTAAACTGCGGCATGGTATCTCAGTGAGCTAGCACTATAAATCGGCATCAGTCCGGACTAGTACAAGCAGCCACACAAACGCACACACGTACATGCACGTCGCTATATAAGTGCAATAATCTTGGACGCGACGTTAAACCCCATTTCACCTCACCTCACCTGTACATAACCACCCATCCTCACTGAAGTCGGCTCTGCCAACAGGCATGGGTGACACTCCATCCAGAATCCTGAACCTTTGGCTGACACCTTGTGGAGGCGCTCTTACAGCCATGGTTACCTGTTATGTTTCTTTTAGTTATGATATGGACCTCTGGAGATCTGGGGTAGAATAGGTCTTCAGCAACCCACGCTTGCCCTAAAAAGCGACAATGGTTGTCGTGAAAGGCGACGGACGGGATCTGGTGGTCAGGCCCGCTGATTTGGTTGATGCATGTCATCGATCCCAATTGCGTGGATCGATGCTCATGATGTCAATCACTGGATTGTCTGGTACAGACTCGATTATTTATAGACTGCAGTCATATAGCTGGAATATTGCTGAGTGCGGCGGCAAACAAACAAACAAAGTTATGATATCACCAATAATTCTGAAAAGGGCACCAGAAAAGTCTTCAAGGTATGGTGAAAATGTTCGTCTTTTGTATCGAACTCTGTCAGATGGATGGATAGCAAAGACATTATGACATGGGTACAGGGATATGATTGTTGCATGTATTATCTCTGACAGCAGAATGCATACATGCCATTTTCAAATTCAGGAAAATCAGTTATACACTGTACAATAAAAGGTTCTCGGGATCCTGAATATTTTTGGGGATATTTTTTGTTGTGAAGACTGAGCACACAGTTTCATAATAATATCCCCCTAAAATATATTCATGATCCGTAGCCTTTTTTGTTTAGTATGTATGCGCATTCCACAAAAAAATATTTTTAGCACAAATTTTGAAAAGGGAATACAGATGGAATCTGGTTAACTTATCTCCATAAACTCTATACGTGACCCTACATAACAATTATTTGTCCTATGATCTATGGGGCGGTCGGGTAGCCTAGTGGTTAAAGCGTTCGCTCGTCACGCCGAAGACCCGGGTTCGATTTCCGACATGGGTACAATGTGTGAAGCCCATTTCTAGTGTCCCCCGCCGTGATATTGCTGGAATTTTGCTAAAAGCGGCGTAAAACCATACTCACTCACTCACTCCTATGATCTATGCGGCAAGTCCCGAAATACTGATAACTACATGTTATATATACTGATGGTCGCAAGACTTCGAGCTCTATATAATATATACATAGAATTGTGGCCGGCTTCATGACCATGTCAATGCTTGGGCTCTACCGAAGGAGACCGCCTCCATGGTCCAGTGGATAGAACGTCTGCCTTGGAGAGCGGAAGGTAGGTGGTTCGACCCTGACCGCGTCATCCCTCAATACGTTAAAAATGTGAAGATCTGGGTTAGGATAGGTTTTCAGCAACCCATGCTTGTCGTAAGAGGCGACTAACGGGACTGGGTGGTCAGGCTCGCTGACTTTGTTGATACATGTCATCGTATCCCAATTGTGTAGATCGACGCTCATGATATCAGTCACTGGATTGTCTGGCCCAGACTCGATTATTTACAGACCACCGTCATATAGCTAGAATATTGCTGAGTGCGGCGTTAAAAGAACAAACAAACAACAAACTTTTTTTTAACCCTGTCAGGCTCTCTGCATTTAAGGGGGTGAATCAAGGACTGGTCAGCTCGGAGTCAGTATACTGTGTCTGAGTTGGATATCCATGTTAAACTGCGCCATGGTATGTCACTGGGCCAGCATTATAAAACCGGCCTAAGTCCGGACTAGTACAAGCAGCCACACACACGTGCAGCCACGACCCTATGTGAGTGAACTAACCTTGAACCCGAAGTTCAACCGCATTTCTCGCTCTTCTACTGAAGGGATGAGTGAATGAGTTGGGTTTAACGCCGCTTTTTCCTGTTATATCACGGCGTGTCAGCTTAATGTGGGAGGAAAGCCCGAAGTGATGCAGGTCTCAGACGTTTACCACTTCGGTGAAACCCACGAGCACGGGTATGGTGCTGACAAACTTAGAAACATAATCGGGGCGAACCGGGAATCGAACCCACAATCATAGGTTTCTGGCGTGCCCAAGAGACGCAACTCTGCACAGCGAATCGTGGCCCCTTAGACGACTGGGCCACCCGTGCCCCCACTGAAAGGATGGAATACAGTCGATAATCCTTGAATCCTTGCAACATAAACATTGATTTTCCAAAAGTACATAACCTGCTAACAGGAAACAGGGCAATTCCTCAGCTCAAAATTTAAGACGAAAGATTCTGTGATACATGTCCCCAATCACTGAGAAATGTGTTGTACGTCAATAAATCTGTGGACTGTGTGGTCTGGCGGTTGTTTGGTTTCAGGAAGCGTGCGTAAAATATAACTATATTCTCCCACGACAATTTGCTGTTCTACATTGTCAACCCCTTGCTGGTTGGAAATGCGTGTGATAATGTGTCAAGAAATAACAATAATACTGCGCCTGGTTATACAGAGACATACGTACCCTCATTACATACTTACTAAGTATTCAAGCTTGAGAACTCCACTACACTATCCAACATCGACTAGCTGCTTATACATAGATACGATTCCCATGAAGATTCATAGGCCTCCAGCAACCCATGCTTGTCGTATGGGTGGTTTTGTTTGTTTGTTTGCCGTTTAACGCCGCAATCAGCAATATTCTAGCTATATGACTGCAGCCTATAAATAATCGAGTCTGTACCAGACTATCCAGTGATTGACACCATGAGCATCGATTCATGCAAATGGGATACGATGATATGGATCAACCAAGTCAGCGAGCCTGACCATCCGATCCCGTTAGTCGTCTCTTACTACAAGCATAGTCGCCTTTTACGGCAGGCACGGGTTGCTGAAGATATATTCTATCCCGGATCTTCACGGGTCAAACGACGAGGTGAGCTTACGCTGAACACATGTCAACCTTCACATTTTTAGCCCCCAAAATTTAAACCATAAAATATAAAGGGACCTTAAAAACTTAATATCCCTTAATTAATTTGCATACTTCACACCCTCGCAATGACTTGGGTTTCATGTAAACGTCAGAGACCTCCAGGCTTTCCTCCAACAACCAGCTCGCGCGCCGTGATATAACTAAAATACTGTTCAAAGCGGCGTTAAGCCAAACTCACTCACTCACTCGCGAACTACATCGCATAAGAACTACATCTCATAAGAACTACATCTCATCAGCACTACATCTCATAAGCACTACATCGCATAAGAACTACATCGCATAAGAACTACATCTCATAAGCACTTCATCGTATAAGAACTACATCTCATAAGAACTACATCTCATCAGCACTACATCTCATAAGCACTACATCGCATAAGAACTACATCGCAAAAGAACTACATCTCATAAGCACTACATCCCATAAGCACTACATCCCATAGGAACTACATCGTATAAGAACTACATCTCATAAGAACTGCATCCCTTAAGAACTACATCGCATAAGCACTACATCTCATAAGCACTACATCGCATAAGAACTACATCCAATAAGAACTGCATCGCATAAGAACTACATCTCATAGGAACTGCATCCCTTAAGAACTACATCGCATAAGAACTACATCCCATAAGAACTACATCGCATAAGTACTACATCCCTTAAGAACTGCATCGCATAAGAACTGCATCCCATAAGAACTACATCGCATAAGAACTACATCGCATAAGAACTGCATCCCTTAAGAACTGCATCGCATAAGAACTACATCGCATAAGAACTGCATCCCTTAAGAACTGCATCGCATAAGAACTACATCTCATAGGAACTGCATCCCTTAAGAACTACATCGCATAAGAACTACATCGCATAAGAACTGCATCCCTTAAGAACTGCATCGCATAAGAACTACATCCCATAAGAACTACATCGCATAAGTACTACATCCCTTAAGAACTGCATCGCATAAGAACTGC